AAATGTCTCTACAGCCGTTACTTTTCAGTTTTCAGAAACCGATCACACTGTAAATTGAATAACGTACTGATGTAGATGACAGACTAAATGTTTTTATTTTAATTACTAATAAAATTGAATAATAATAAAAGGCAAAACAGCATGGACATACCCCTGAGATGTCTGAGTGACATACTACTGTGAAACGCATTAAAAAAGAAGAAATGTACGGGCATGGGTTAGTGGTTAGCAATTTAAAAACAGCTCCTCATAGGATCCCAATATTTTAGCAGTTTACAGGCAAACACGTTAAAATTCAGAAATTTGACTTAAAAGATTTCATTTTCCCGAGTGCATCTTCTGGGATTTCTCCCCCCCAGGAGAGCTGTGGTTCCTCTCAGAGAGTTACAAACACACCAGTCCAAACAAATAAAAGCAAAGACCTTCATGGAGCTACTGTCTGTAACCTCAACAGCTCATCACAATAAACCCACAATCCATCCTCAAAGCAGGATGTCTCTGAATGATCTAAATAAAAAGCCTCCTACTGTGAAGCTTCTGCAGTACACTTGAACTCATTAAAGGGTCCTGGCCCTCAGCTTTTTTCTTTTTTTTGTCATTTTGCTTCTTTTTCGTCTACAGCAGCCTACACAGTGCTGTGAAGCGTGAGCTTACGTCTCCTATTAGAGACGTTACATGAGGTGATTCTGGTGTTACCTCTATAATTATCACAGCTACGTCAACAACTTTGTGATTCTTTTGTTTCCTCTTTGAGTGGCTCCTCCCTGCTACACGTGCACACACCCGCATTCAACATGCATCCACGCAAACAAACACACTCATGCAGGTCTTCCTGATGGCAGGAGCCACCCTCCGTGCCTCCCTGCTGTGTCGACCTGCCGGCTTCGCTCACAGTTTGGCTGCCCTGAGGTTGATGTGAGGTTTGACCAGAGGGAACAGAGGCAGACTCCTCTTGAACTCCATCATGTCCTGAATCACTGTGGGCTGCAAAGAAGAAAAAGATCAGAGGGAGGCTGACAAATGTAAAGACCCCTCTACAAATCAAGTTCAACATAGCTGGACTTTGTATAAGTTAGCTGGCTCAACCTATCAGAGCGTAATGGATATGAACGTCTGAGAGTGGGTTGAACGTTCTTATTTAACCCAGGCTGCTTCTGTATGCCTTCACATAACTGGGGCTTTTAACACATCGTTTTCAAAACAAAATGAACCAATTAGGAGCTGCCTACTTTGGTCACATGAACAGATCATAGAAAATTATAAGAGCATGGAATTATAAAAGTCAAATGTAACACACACACACTGCACATGAGCCAAAAAAGCAGGATGGTGTGTGTGACACTGAAGAAATTACACATAAACTCACTTTAAAGGTTTGATTCACAAACATATTTTTAAGGTTTTTGAGTTGAGTGACAGGTTCATTATTTGTTGTTTTGTTTGTATGAGAAACAGGCCTGCCATTCCAGTCAGTTATTGGTTAGACGTATTGGGATATCCTGGTTATTGTCACCGTTTCAGGTCCTTTGGGTTTTCACCTTCACTGTTTCACATTTAAGCTGCGCATTTATAGTAATGTTAAAATCTGACTGAATATCAGCAGCTGGGGAATCTGTCAGGTTTACAAATAAATATAAAAAGTTTGATCCTTACCTGTGGCAGGGAAGGAGCAGGAGCCAGGTTGACATCATTCTGAGCGGGGAACTCTCCCACTACTGGACCTGATGTACACACAGACAGGTCAGACTGTCAGTGAGCGACCTCAGTGGGTGTCTAAATGAAGCCCATGTTATCATCTTGTGTCTACAGATACTCACAGGTGTCCATCTCCCTGGACAGCACGTGCACCGACACTTTGTGTCTCTTTGGGGCTTCGACCGTCAGTCGCTCCTGGATAGACAGACAGACAGGTGAGGATGATACATGGAGGTTGTCAGGGAACATCATCACCAGAAACTATTCCCTCCATTAATGGAATGACTCATCACTTTTGGGAAAGAGCTTTGCTACCACAGAAAAGAAACTCAGCACAGACAGAATGGCTGTGTGCGTTTCCCCACTGAGTGTGTGATCAGTAGTGACAGCCCTGTGGAGATTTAGCGACACAGTCGGGCTTCATCTCCGACTCTGGATGGAGGATTATATTAGACTGAACATTTGGCTCATCTGCAGTCAGACGGCGTCAACAGTGGCGACCAGAAATTAAATAATTAAAAAAAAAGAAAAGACGCAGCTTGTGCGATTGCTGCTGATATGACATTAGAAATGCATTAGGTTTATTCTGCATGGGGGCTGTAATGGTTTCTGCAGGGCTCCGATAATGCCAATTCTTTCTGGGGCCAGGTGTCCTTGGGCTCTTTATCCCCCCGAAACAAGCTGGCTGGCTGTCATTATTGCCGCTGATATGCTGTGAGCGTCCTGTGTCAGTGTCACCTCCACAGCTATGAATAGAAGCAGGAGGCTGGATGAGATGAAAGCTAGGAGGGCAGAATGGATGCAGCAGATCTGTGTATGTGTGGACACACAAACAGAGTAGGTGGTGCTGAGAGCAATTTTTATCCTTATTTTACACCATAATTTTCTTGTTAGATAAGATAACCTCACAAATTCAGATTTGTCTGACATTTATCATTTCAGCGCTGCAACATGCGGGGTCGAGTATATCCAGTTTTACTAGAAACACTGCAAGTTCCTGCCACTTGAGGCATCTCAATCCCCCATACAGTCCCATGTTAAAAAAGCCCGTTGAGAACAGGATGGGTAGGGTGAATTTTTTCATGACACTTTCTTGATCAAGGCTTACAGTGAGTGACAGGTATGCTGATCGAGGAACTGCAGGTAGAAGCTCCTTGATCTGAAGTGATCCTCATCTGTGTTTGTGCTTTTGAGCTTTTGGTCTGCAGTGAGGTACGGCCCATCCAAGAAGTCGAGGTCTAATATTTTATTAGCATGTTGCAATTTAGAGATCCAAGTCTGCGTGATGCACTAATACAGTGCACAAATGCTTCCAGCTAAACAAGCCTGCTAGAATTAGCCGTAACATAGGCTCCTACGAAAGTGGTCACTTATGGCTCACCCCCCCCCCCAAAAAATGTCAGCAGCCAAATTGCTAAAGTTCAAATTGTTCAAGTCTATCTTTTACATATAGTCTTTGATTATGAGTTTCCATAGTTACCATTGTCTTGTGCTGTTAGACGTCTACGAAACGTATTCCAGTGAAGAGGCATCATGAGACATAAAGCTGTACTACTTACTCTGTAAAACTCCATTATGTTTTCTTTTGTCAGAGTCTTCAGATACGCCACTTCAATGTTGTCTGCAAAACAGCAGGAAAAATTATTTAGTAAATTATTTAGAAACTTTTTAAAGAGTGCAGCCAGCATCCTAAATACTGCAGCACCAAACCAAAAATTCAAGAGTGAGCCATCACGGTGAAAGTCAGCTACTTGTGTCAGTTATTACTACAGCACTTGGATGTTTAAAATTGAGTTCAGTCTTTTGCCTGTGCAACATATTGATATCAAACATAATGAAACTCAAATGAGCAACTTTTGGCCCAAATGTTCATGATTACATTTCACTGGAAACATGAAACTAACAGCCACTCTTCTGCGCTTCCATGAAGCAGACCTTGTGTAAGCTTTTATTCATAAATTGTGTTGCATGTTTCTCTGAGCTCTTGGTATTAAGCCTGTTAGCATGTTCTCCTGACACCGCCGTCTCCTCTAACACAGCTAGTATCACCACTCCCTTGGCAGCACTACAGTGTTGCCGTCACTCGGGGCTTTAGGCAGATTACTAGTGAATCAGGCCCATTACAATCCATTACACTCAGCAGAGTGCTGGATGGGAGAGGTGTGCTGTGGCTGCAGATTATTTCAGGCTTTAATCGATCTCAGGTTGTGCTTGTCGAAGTAACATCCCACTCACCTCGGGGAGTGTCTGAAATATACTGAAATATAAGAACTTGTACTTAAACACTTAGGCAAGCAATCAGGAAAAACCCATTTGGCCTGCAAACTAAACATAATTAAGAGTTATTCAGGAGGTGAAGAGGACTGCTGGGAAGCCTCACCTCTATCAAAATTGTACTGCTGAGAGATGATCTCTCCCCAGTATTTAGCACACTCAGCAGACAGCTTCTTCGGTTTGTCCAGGCGGCGGATGGCCAGGGCTTGGATGTGTTTCTGGAAGGCTTCCTCGCTCATCTCCTCCACAGCTTTCTCCATAGTACACAGGAAGGCTTCCACTCGGCTCTCCAGGTAGTGGGGCGCCTTCTCCGACTGGATGAGGAAGTAGAGACCTTGCACTCCGTTAGCCCGACGTGGCCCACTATGCACGCTGTAGCCTTTTAGGGGATTAAGAGAAAAAGTATGTAAGAGCTTAGGAAATGGAGTCACAGTGCAGAAAAACTATTCAAAGCACATTTATATTATCATTAATAATAATACGCATGCACACAAAAACACGATTGTACAAGGATGAGTACAATAGGTCTACTTTTTTATTGCTTTTTATAACTCTCATTACAGTGATACTTAAGATGTGGTTAAGAGGTGCAACCCATTCATTCTCAAAGTTAATAAACATTCCCACAGCTGACAGCACTTTGCAAATTTCATTGCACTGTAATTCTCAATAAAATGCATAAATATTAAAAGGAATAAAACATCTAATTTAGCAAACTTAATACAGCTGCCACATTTTTTCTGTCTGTATAAACACTCCATCTCTGGAAAATGGTACCCATGTTATATAATGGCAATATTGCCTTATTGTCTGTGTTTTGCAGCCTCACCCAGCTGTTCTTTGGTTCTCAGTGTACTATAGCAGGGCTCAGAGATGATCTGAGCGAACAGCTCCAGCAGCATGTTGTCGTGTGTACTCTGCATGTCTATTTGGTAGTAGATATCGATGCCACAATCATTGTGCACCGCGTTCTTTTGCTGGTAAACATACCAGCCACCTGCAATCATGGAAAACAGAAGCACATCCACAGTGAGAGAGGAAGAAAGAAAAGGGCCGGGTTGCTTCATGTGGCCTTTAACCCCATGTACTCACCTTGTTTTTGTACTTGTGTAGTTATATGTAATATTAAAAAGACTAAAAACAGGAAAGAGAAAGACTAGATGTAAAAATATGAGCACCTGTAATTCTTCTGGCTTTGCTTTTTGGTCTGTGAAGGTTCAACAGGACCTCACTGAGATACGCTGAGAACTAAACTTGGCATGTGAGTGAGCAAAACCATCTGAAGTCATTTAAAGCACAATCCTTTTCATTAACCCAAAATCCACTGACTCATGAACTCTGATAAGCTTAGAAATGAATTTCACCAGCTGTGCTGTACAGCTTAATACAATCCATCCCTGCACACTTAATCAGGTCTTTCAGTGCTGCATTAGAAACTTGCACAAGCAATTCCTACAAAAAGCACATGAGCTGTTTCATTGTAGTTTTACAGCTGAACTTCAGTACACTGCTTGAGCCATAGATAAGTACTGTACAGTAAAACCAGCACAGTTCAGATAGAGGACAGGGGACACTTCAATAAGACAGAAACAGCCCGTTGAATGCCAACAGCAATAACTCTAGTTTGTTTAAATCCACTGTGATCAAGTCTGCTCTGAATGCAGGACGAGTGCAGGCTGAGTAATGCAGGTGTCTTTATGCACATGCTGACTGAGCACTCTGGACCTGACACTCCCTGTCAAAAGTTCTACTCAGCAGCACTAGTGTAACTCACTGGGTTGAGCAGGCAACCCATATGCGCAAGGTTAAGAGTGCCCCCCAGAGGGAATGTGAAAACTCCAAACAGAATGTGTGTATATTTAGCTGTTTTCTAGTCTTAGTCCATCAGTGTAAAGGTGACAGCTGTCTGAATTTTAAACTATGTGCTATCTTTGCTTATCTGCATTTAAATTACACAGTACCACTACCAGTGATGGATGTCTGACTGGCCACATTTATGACAACTTTCTGTTTGAAGCTTTGTTTGAAGCCTGTATGTCCTCTTGCTCTGCGTCTTAATGGCAGTCTGGAGCCCAGCCTGGAAAGTCCCTCAGAGAGACACAGGATTTCTCCAGGTGGCCTCGCACAGCTCTGCTTTTCGCCTCCACATCATTCAGCTTTCCTAATGTGACCTGAAAGGCAGTGCAGGTTTGCCTGTGTGTTCATTGCCTGAGCTGCTGACAGTGAGGTGTGTATGTATTGTAGCCAATGACGTCCATTTCCACTCAGTGACCATTATGTTCCTTTGAGGTAAATGTGGGATGCTAAATTTAATCAGGTCTTTTCTCAACAAACGCATGATGGTGCCACTGATGACGAGGGCGAGAGCGTTGGACAAAAACCCATCTGCACGGTCGCCGTGGAGACTGTCATGACTGACAGATGAAGATTTAGAGAGCTTAACCTGTGTGTGTCTGTGTCTGTGTCTGTGTGGGGGGGGTTGGAGGAGTAGAGGACCTACCGTCTGGAACCTGCACCTGTCTGTAGCGAATCAGCTGGCTCGGGAGGAGAGGCTTTGTGTGAGCATGCTCAGTGAGCGTGTCCTCCACCATTTGCATCATGCCAAGAGCAGACTAGAGGAGTGACAGATGGAAATGAAATTCAAACATTTCAGTCCACAAACTCTTGAGTAACACCAGCTGAACTCTCAGAATAACATTTTGTAGAGATCTAAGAATTTAAAATTTTCTATGTACATTACTTAGAATAACCCAACTGGCTCTGTCCAAACTGGACCCATTTATACAACTAATTTCCAGTGATGGCAGATGTATATAACATTGATTTTTCCATGACCACCCCCGAACCAGTCAGCACTGTAGTTCAATGAGGAGCATTAGTCGAAGGGATCATTGGTCTATTTTATGAGTCTAATTCTCCCTCCAGCAGACTGTGACACTGTCATTACATGATAATGTTGGAGCTGTACAACAAAAAGTGCAACTGGATCACAGGATCTTATATGAGACAAAAATCCTCTGAGATATGAATAGAGGACCAAATAAATGTTGCGAAGGCATAAAAAGTGTAGTTTGTCCCACAGAGACAAATTCTTACACATCACTAAAGCAGGCATGAAAGGAAAGCTGCATTATTACAAACGTAGACGCCACAGATTTAGGAAACTTTTAACTTTAAACTGGTAGTAAAATAATAAAGTAGTGACTCCAAACACCAACTAACCTCCTTGGTGATGTTGCCATGAAGAAGGACTTTGATATGTAACCGCGACAACAGCTGAGGTATGAAGATGTTAAGGCGTGGGAGAGTTACATCTGCAATACAGATCACAGGCAAAAGCAATCAATCAAAGAGTAATTTTCCAAAGCTGGTAACAGACTGATTCAAAGAATAACTGCTGAGTGTGGTGACAGTTGGACAGTCTTCCTGCCATTAAGAAATCAGCACATCACATTTCATGGTGGTAAAAATCATACTTAAAGATTCAGTTACATGTGCATAAAAGTTTAAGCAACTGGTGGATGGGCTAAATCAGCACACAAACACTGATTATTTGCCTGTAGCAGCACCAACACAGCAGGAAGCAGAAGACTCACAGCGTCTCAGAGATTCCAGACAGAGGAGGACGGCGGGCTAAAGGGACTGATGACAAAAACGAGCTGTGCTAATTGGAGGCCCAGGTGACTGAGCTCCAGGTCCTGACCCAGCAGGGTAATTGAGTCTCGTGTGAATCTGAGGATACTCTGTGTAAGCTCTGTGGTTAAAAATATAACAAGCTGCCCTGCAGGCTCCAGACTGGCACTGTGCACGGGAAAGACTGCAGCTAGGGAAGCAACTGCTAGAGGACAGCTTCAGCATTTAAAGGAGAAAAACTGAAAAGAAGAAAAGACCCAAGGTGAGAGGAGAGGCCTCTACTGTGTGCAGAAACCTGAAAACTTCAGTGATAGTTTTACATTTTTCACTGCAGCTATTATGTTAACCTCATGCAATTAATTCAAGGCTCACTTTTCATTTCCTCAGCTCTGGCCTGAAGTAAAGCTTGGCTATGTGTTTATTCTGTGTTTTAATTAACTCTGTTTAGTTCACAGATGAAAAAGCAGCCAGTAAGCATTCCTGCTGAGACAGAAGAGAAACATTAAGAGTCTCACCATCTAGAGCCTCTCTGAGCTCATCTTTGGTCCAAACAACCTCGGTCATTAGAAGATGGAGGTAGTACATAGCATGATAGTTAGGCCTCTCAGCTCTGAAGTTATTCAAAGACCTCATGTACTGCAGAAAGAAAGAAGGCAGAATCAGATCACCATTAAAACTGAGACTGGAAGCTAAACTATTACTGAGTCAGTGAGTCTGAACTTACAGCTTCCTTGATGATGTCAAAGCGCTTCTCGTCTATCTCAAAAGTGGCCATCTTCTCGATGATCTTCTTCAGCAGGATGTTCTGTTTGTCACTGTAGCCTTTAACAGACAGCTGCAGCACACAGTGACAGGAGACAGGCGGCACATCATCACAAACAAAAGGATACATTAAGCTTATTAGCATAACAGTTAACATTTGTTGTTATGAAGGTTTTGCATTCATTTGCTACCATGAATACATGAATGTGTTCTCCATTTAATTCAATCGTGGGCTGGCCAAACTATTGTGAAGAAAATCTTTCCAGATTAGACCGACTCCTCATGGTGAACAATAATCTGAATCTCCAGAGGCACACAAACAAAAAGAATGTCAATGTTCTGCCTGAGTTCACTGCACGTGCTTGGGCATAAATGAATTTTCCTGCATCACGCACACCTAATGGCCCTTCAGGATTCAGCATAACCTCCCAGGGCTTCACTGTCACTTTCATCCCACAGCTCACCTCACCTTGTGGCCAAGCCCCTGCAGTGACACCTGTTAAAAGTAATCTCTCCAAACATCGTTAACCTTGACAAACGGCCAGCATCCACACTAACACTGCTGACTCAGATCAATTACTTGCAGCCCATCACACAGCTATACAGCCCTCTGTAAGGACACACCAGTCATGAATTCACAGGTGAGAGGGGAGCTAATGAATGCAGGTTAGTTGGTCATTATGACAGCTGAAGAGTTGTTAGAAGTCAGCAGGTTTTAAAGAACAGTGGAGAGACAACACCACAGCAAACATCACTTGAAAACAAACAAACAAACAGGTTATCTGCATCAACTGACCTTATCCCTTATATCCTGTGGCACAGATGCCTTCTCATTCACTGCCTGGTATTACATTTACAATAGAAGTGCCAAAAAATAAGAAATAAAAATAGATGGCTACTTTTGCCTGCTCTGTTATTCACAAGGGGCCTCCCTCTGGGTACCTCCGTTTCATTTAGGGAACTTTTGCTTGTTAGGCAAACGTGTAGATAACCGTAATAATGGCAGCAAAAGGCACTAAACAGAATTACATAGGCAGAGTTTTGCGTACTATTAAAGTCTGCACAAATCTTGACATTTTATTATCAGTATACTTTTTTAAAATAAAGATGTTGGCACGCCATAGAAATGTTAAAAAATGAAAAGAAAGAAGTCAAAGATTTATCCTTAGATGATAATATGAAGATAATATGCCAGTACGGGGCTTTACAGCAGCGCTCCCCAACCTTTTTTGCACCACGGATCGATTTAATGTCAGACAATATTTTCACGGACTTTAAGGTATCGCAGATAAATACAACAAAATAAAATGATACGGCCAAGACAAAAACTGTGGTACTTTTGTAAATATAATAATAAACGAGAATTCACTGTGTAATTGTGTAACTTTATTAGCAGCGTCCTCCTGAAATGCCCCAACAACAATTAGAGTAACATCCTCCTCTCTGCCCCTTAACCCCTTAGCAGTCCTACAAATTTACAATTAGTCCCCTAAACCATCCAATGTACCGTGGGCGGTACGTCCGACTGCTAACAGGTTAATGCTCTCTGGTTGCTGTGGTAACGCATGAATATAAGACACACAACTACAACACGGGAAAAGACCCAGGGAAACCGAGTTAACAATAAAATCCCAGAAAACCATAAATTTCACAGCGGAGCCTCAACTCTTGCGACCAAACGACTCACTGACCGATACCGGTCCGTGGCCCAGGGGTTGGGGACCGCTGGGTTAAAAGGTTTTCTGAAGTGATATAAAACACACGCAGGTTCAAAATCTCTACAAAACAGTCTCTAATGATCAAGTATGTCAAACAATAAAAAACGTTCAATATACGGCAGTTTCCTGTTATTGTAACTTGCAGTCTGGCCACAGACGCGGTCAGATTGGAAGGTTAAAGTCGCCCATCAACCCAGGCCTGCCTGAGCCATTGTAGCCCCGTCTGAGGATAATAAAGGGAAGAGAGCATGAGGTTGGAGACGGGAAGGGGTTATGAATACTTACATGCATTCCATAGGCGGTATTTTGGAGTTCATAGTTCAAGCCAGCTAGCTCGGCTGCATATGCATACTCGTTGAGGGAGTCCTTGAGGAGCTCCAGGTATAAATATGCCATGTTACAATGCAATGGGTCCACGTACGCAAACGGGCTGTAGAGAAAATGCAACACAAAGCATACAAATAAAGCTGCACGAGCTGATGCAAACTGCAACTACTGTATAGCATGTTTCACAATTTATGAACATATAATTAACTGTAGCTATCAGGAGTGTAACAGTGGAATTACTTATAGACTAATACTGTCTAATTTCAGCAGGGATTGGCTGTAAAATGTTGGAAAATATGGCTAAAAGCTGATCTAAGCTAATCCAACCTATCCTCTGAGGTGGCAAAAGTACAACAGTACAACTCTATTTGCTGTTGCCTAAATTTTAGATGGGGGGCTTTGCCTCTACACCAAACAGATAAATGAGTATAGCCAAGGGCTAAAGTGGGATTCAGCTCTTGGGGTAACCCTAAAACTGGCTGTAGTGGTGCAGTGTGGGGAAAAGAAATGCTTGCACCAAATATAAGCGGATATCAAACAAGCAATCATGCCAGATTTCCCACCACTAGGTTTCAAATGTCTAATTAGCATTATCACCTTGAATTACTTTGATGTCTGCTACCCCTGATGTAAACTTTCACTATTAACACCACAGCCACTCTGGACCAGTCCAACACAGTGCATTACTGTAATCGTCACCACAGCACCGCAAACTGACCAGTGTAGCCTGCACCTAATTGTTGAGTACTTTCATCAAACCAGTAAGTATATTGTGTATGTTTTGCGACATATTTCACAATACGAAAAAAATATAACTTCAACACTTCATGTAAAGATTAAACATCTGTAAAACAAAACAAAACGAAATCTCTCTTCTTCCTCGCTTTCTTCTTTACTTCCTATGCCTTTCTCCACATCTAAAGTTATCTATCAGTATTTTCTCTCTCTGGGAAATAGAACAGCTGTACATGCACAATTATTAGAGGCTTTTTGCATATTTCATCTCTTCATGTGTAACAAGCACTGGCACTGGTTATTATTCCATTTAGGTTTGAATTGGATTCATATCAGCTACAGGGGTTGCTGACTTACAAACCTGATAACACTCATGCATAATTCGATATTTATTTTTGCACTTTGTTATCTGATTACTTTAAAACTTATTATGCACTGTTGTAGCAGCAGTACATTTACGATTTCTCATTATTGAGTTAATCTTAAGAGTCACAATTTACTTGGTAAGAATTTGTGTCCACACTCCAGCTGCAGAACAAATCCTCTATATTTACTACTCACCTGAAGAACTCAAAGTTCAGGCAAGCCTTGGGGAGGAAGAATTTGTCATCCTGCTTGAACCACACCTTGCTCATAGCAGTGTCCTGGAAGAAATGAAAACCAAACTTAATTTCATATTCATGGAAAGTCTTAACAAAGTAAAGCATTGAAATGCAAGCAGAAGGTAAACTGTACAAGCAGACGACGCTCATTTAATCACAGAAATCTAACAGTGTTACTTTGATAGGTCTCTTAGCAACAAACAACAAAAGCCATACTAACTTTTATTCAGTTGTTCCAACAGAGATGGGAAATGTAAGCTTTTATTAGCTGCTTAGTTCCTCTGATCCTGACATAACAACAACTAATGCTTGATGTCTAAATCACAATACCACATTTCCATATGAAAGCATAAGAGACTTAAGAAGAAGCAGGTAAGCAGGGACCGTCCAACGCAGTCAGACAATGAAAAGTGACAACACTTTGATGATGGAGCTGTGCAGAGAAAACACTTGCCTTGATTAAAGTGGGAACTGACGGAGAGTCTTTCTCAAGAGGGTAGATCTCGAAGTTGGTGGGGATGAACTCATTTTTCATTGGCAATTTGAATTTGCCGTTGAGGTCTGCATTTGCCCATTTCTACAACAGAAAAAGATAAACAATCAGAGCCTTATATAACTGATGTAGTGGTTATACGCTGATTACACAGCAGAAAAACTGGACACAATCATTCACCTTGATGGTCTCCTCAGAGATGGCCTCCTGTTTGTACTGCGTGCCGTACCACTCTTCTGTTATGTCTGTTTGTCCTTCAAATGATTTTGACACAACTATAACTCTGGAAAAGTAAGAAGACAACAGGTCACATTATAGATCTATACAAAAAGCCCTCTGTGCTAGCTGCACAAGATGTGAGTGCTTTTCCATTTCGATCATGTTTCAGGTGGTGCACAGCCATTGACACATCGTTTGGCTGGAGCTGTCAGAGTGCAGGTTTTTCCTAAGTTTGAACATTTATCCCATCAGTATGTTTTAGTTAAACAAAGTTGAAGGACTCAGTGTAAAAGGAAATGGTGTTTCTCTGTAAGTTCTCCTGCAGCTGGAATGAGATGGATAAATAAAGAAGCATTCGTTCATGAATTTAAAGCAGTTTTGGCAAAAGCCCAGAATTAAATGGCCACTTCAGTAAAGGAAGAGACTGGCATGCAAACCGTCAGGGTCAACCAATGACTGCATGCTGTCGTCTCCTTAATACACATTAAGAAATGGACCGGTTACAAGTCTGGACTTTGCTTGGCACAGCAGCTGCAACCCAGTAAATGAATTAAAGCTACACCAGGCCCACTTTTATTTCAGTCCAGTTATCCAAGTGGGACTGCAGCTGTAAAGTTTAGCTTAAAGTTTATCACACTATGTGCCCACATCTTCCTCTGAGAGGTACTTCATACTTGGTAACAGAAAAGGCAAGGTGAGCCTGACTACACATCACCAAGTCACACTGACCTGACGTGTTCTGGTCTCAGCTTATCCAGCACCATCTCGATCAGATCTGGCTTGAAGTCTTCCAAGAAGTACTCTGCTGATAGAACTTCTTCAAGAGGGTAGTGCTGCAACACCCAAAGAAACTTGTTAGCACTGTACTGCTTGAAAACACAAATCTTCAATTCTGATATTTTTCTAAAGACCTCCATAAATCGAATCTTCAGTTTCAACTGGACACCTGATAAATTGGCTGTTGGACCTACCTGTAGTAAACCTGCTATTTTGGAAGTGTAGTCACGAGGGCGCTCCTTGTCTTTAAACCTGAAAGCAACTTTTTTTAAATCCTGCAGAGAGAGGCAGAACGGTTGATGGTATAACAGCTGAAGTAACAAAACATACAATTGTTACATTCAGTTTGAACTATGTACCCTTAATAGAACTCAATCAATAATCCATCTATATTCTATTCTAATTTTTATGACTTTTTAAACTAGTTTTTACAGTGAGGAATAGAAAATAAGTTTATACTGCCCTCCAGAAACAGTATTACTGAACTGACAACATAAATCACCTTGTACTCGTTAAACACCCACTCTTGAGGCCCTTCAGAACGGAGTTTCTGGATGTACTGGAACATGTGGAAGATTATGTCCTCAATGTTCACTGCAATGACACACAGATCATGCCCCAAGATTTAATATTCACGTATTTCTTGTTGCTTTATTTATTTTACTTGTGCATAGTGAGGAATGATCAGAATCACATGCAAAACACACAAACTAGATACAATACATGTAAAGTAGTGAGATGCATGACTTACAGAGGCCCTCCTCAGTCAAGTCCATCTTGATGTTGAAGAACATGAATCCTCTGGCTCCCTCTTTGTGTCCTCCAAGGATTGTGTCCACCCAGCCTTAGAAAGTAATTACCGTTACAATTTAGTAATGTGTTTCTTTTATTTTTATGATGACAGAAACCATTACTGTGAATGTTTCTGTACTAAAAGAAAATTAACTTCTATCCCAATCACTAAATTAGAGGCGCACCGCTCTGCTGGGTAATGTTGTGTTACATTTTATGGTCGCAAAACACATAATTAAGTAACCTCTGAGGCAATAAACAACACTGAGTCAATCATATATTTTACGATATGGTTTTACTATGTGTATCTCTTTCTCCTTATAATATTTGTCACCAGCTTGCAGTCTGCTACCTTTAGATTTTAGCTCAGAAAACAAACTTCCAGGTCCTTCGTGACCAATCAGATGTCCCAGATAACGTCCTGGCTTCGATTTGTAGTACTGCTGTAGATCTGGGATGGGGAAAGTCACATAAAGTTTCCTAATGTCTTTGACAGGAACCACTTTGTAGAATTTCTGTAATAAACAGAAGCGTGTGTGATTCCCACAGTAACATGATAAAAAACGTTGACAGTCATTTTGCAATGCAAAAAAATGTAAAGGAGTGATAGGTAAGCAGCTCACTTTAAGGTGTTCTTCTTGTAAAGGGTGTTCAGGGAATTCTGGAATAGGCACATTCTTGTTTTCCACTTCTCCAAATAACTTAACCACCATGGCCGTCAACTCATCCAACGACTCTGTCAGCAAAGGGTTAAAAAAAGCAGTAAGGATGTGCTGTTCAAAGAAAAGCTTTAAGGATGTCAGTACTCATCATAATTACCCACAGTGCCCTTGTCCTTGGCTGGTAAGCAAGCTAGTAAATATATAAAACATGTTGTGATGCTACTAAGAATTTATAAAATCTTATTTAAAATAAAATTAAAACTTAAAATGTATTATTTTTATTTACTATATTGTTTCTGGCAGTAAATTACATTACGCCGTTTCTTAGTAGGTTTTAATACTAATCACCGTTACTCTACCGAGTGGAGGCAACAACATTTTTAACTCATTTATCATTTATCAATTCATTGGTTAGTATGGTAGGCATTAAGAAGCCAGGACCTCACCCATAACAACATCTTCTTTAATAGTATCCAGTTACTCGCTGCATAGGTTGGGTGTAACCATCACCCATGTGAGCAATGACATCTTACCTCTTCCTAACACACACAGTCCCATGAGGTTGGATGAGTAATACGTGGAGTGGAACTTCAGGAGCTCCTTACGGATATCAATCCCCTCTTTAGATGGTCTTGTCTCTAGTGTCATTCTATTACCTATAAGAAAAAGTTATCCCTTTTATTAAGCACACACATTTTCCAATTGTACAGTTAACTAATGATCATTTTCTGTTGTTATAGTTTTTCAAAGAGTCTAAATGAAATTGTCAGCAAACAAATATTTGTGTTAAATTCTTCAAAGTTGTAGTAAAAATTGCTTATTAACTACAAGCTAAAGCGTATGTAAATAAACTTGATTACAGTCTACATGTAGCACTGTATTTGTTAACACAGACACCATCAAAGCAGCAGTCAGAAGAAGCTTATGTTAGTCTGCTGAGTGCACTGCTTTCAGGTCTGTTTGATCCTCTCCTGTTCTTAATGGGAATACAGACGGTATAATTCAAGACTGCCATCAGGTGGCTATTTTGAGCTCACAGCTGCTCTGAGTATACGTCACTTTAATCTGGGATGACTTTAACAGAATAAACTCTTTTCTCAAAAAACTTGACTAATGGCATGTTCATGTTTTTAAAACCAAAGCCATTAAGAAGTATTTCTGGGCTAAAACAGCTGTCTCATAATAAGTAGGCTGCATGAATGTAAACCTCATTTAATCAAATATTAGCCTGCTCCAGTAATTTCTCTGACCCCTTAACATTAACATATGTGACTGGATTCTGCTCTAGATTAGTAGTCTAATACAAAATCTAAAACACATCATATCGACCCTATGAAGGGAATCCTTGCTTAAATATTCTGTGCAGGGCGGTTTTGCTCTCCAGTCAAAATATTCTGCTATAACAACTGAAATGTGATGCACTAAGCAGTCAGAATGAATGATGTAATGATATAGTTTCAAAGTGAAGTCTGGCAAGAACAGTTTCTACCTGTTCCAAATTTACTGAAAGGGTGTTTTGGGTTGCCAGTGGCCTTTTCCAACTGAAACAGCCTCCAGGTATCATTCTTCAGGTTCTTCTCGTACTCAGAGTCCACAGCGTTCACCTCGCGGTCCTTGCAGCTCTCGTCAAACAATGGGCACAGAAAGAACTGGGCAAACCTACAAAGGTCAGAAGTTGCTGTTATCAAGGAGTACATTTCAGCATGTAGAAAAACCACAGGGTGTGATAATAGTTATGGCCTAGTCGGTGGCTCAGTATTGTAAAATGCATAATCTTGTTTATTTTAAATAAAGATTATACACTACAAACATAGAGGGAGAAATTCAAATAAAAAGCAGTCTGCCATGATTACAAAAAATTAGGCACACAGATATTATGAAAAGAGATAAGATAATAAGGCTAACTAATCGACACATATGATCCTTTCATTTTCCAGAAAGGAATCATCATCAATAATTCAGATCACTCCTCACAGTTCTTTCCTACCACTGAAGCCCAGGTGGCCTTCACGATTCAGTGGTGGAAGGGAACAATTAGCCTATGCGACAGAAACAGATGCTTGCTAGAACCATCATTCATTTCTAATTAGGTAAGCCTACACTGTAGGTTCATTTCCGACCGCCAGAACGTCCTTTCCAAACCTTGAGTCCCAAGGGCTACACTGTATACTGATAACTAGATATTTAGACACCTCCCATAATTTGAAAAACACAGGTAACTATCAGTGCTATCCCTCAGCCTCTAAGTAGGCACACCTGTGGTATCACTTTACAAATCCTGTGTTGCCTTATTCTCAAGTTATCACATTCAGATGATTTCAGAAAAATTATTTTGTCACTGAGATTCAAACTCATCTGAGATTTTTAGTAGATGCAGCTATGGTACCAATTTGAAAATCCTAAGTGACTTCCTTCTTGAGTTATCGCATTCACAAGATTTTCAGAAAACTTGACCTTGACATTGACATTGAGGCTGAGGTAACTCAGATTCAAATTACTCTGAGATTTTTAGTAGATTCATCTGAGATTGAGACCTACGGTATCAATTTAAAACACCTACATCGCCTCGTTCTCAAGTTATCACATTCACAAATGTAGATGTCCACGGCACTCACCCCCCTGTCCGGCATTGCAACAACATAATACCCCATCAGCTTTTTACAGCTAAGGGGTGAAAAGGCAACCTAAACACAAACAACCCTGAGCTTTTAATAGTGCATTCTCTATCACTTTGAAGTTTCTGCCAAAATTAATACTATCAAATGAACATCAAAGTACCTATCTAATGCTCCTTTCAAGTGCTCATGGGAAACATCAAAGTAATAGTTGGTATGTTCTCTGCTGGTGAAGGCATTGGAGCTGCCTGCGTGCTCACTGAGGAACTGGCTGTACTCGTTCTCCTTGGGGTACTTCTCTGTTCCCAGGAACAGCATGTGTTCACAAAAGTGTGCCAGCCCTGAGATGTTTGGTGGGTCAGACAGAGAACCTGCAAATTAAGAGAAATTCCCAGAGAAATGTAGTTAATGGTGCTGCTTCTCTTTGATCAGAGAAATTTGTTCAATGCAACAGTTGTGACTTTTAAAGTTTGCCAGGTGAGAAAAACAGATCAGTAACGGCACCAGAACAGGAGGATTTATAAGCAATGAGATGCACGCTGGTAAGCTGTTCATCATTTTCAATTAAACACAGAAACTATTTCACACGAATTCACATTCTTCACGCACTCAAAGTATCTGTCTAATGCTTAAAACACTAGAACTGCCAAGGAGGTTATTTTTGACCCCTAATCCCATCCCGCCATCTAATATTGATGAATTTTCCTAAATCTGGTTTATTCATTAGACAGTGAATTTTGCAGCAAAGGAATAAAAAAAGTAAAAAAAATAAACAAAACAAGACTTGTACCACAGAACTGCTGAGGGAGTCATTCCAATCCCATAGAAATCAATGTAAAACATTTCTAGCATAGCTGGTTGCTTCGCAGCATGTATTGTTTACAAACATTTTGATATGAAGACTGCTATAACACGACCAAGCACTAGCTAGATGTGATCAACTGATAAATATATAGGAGACTGTGGTTTGATAAAAGAATAAGTACTGCAGAGCTGAATGGCTCAGAGATGGTATGTTGAGCCACAGCAGATCAGAGATGATCAGACAGTTTTATTGCAAAATGAGATCAATGGCTTAGTGAGCTATCTCAGGCAGTTTTCTGCATTTACCAAACTTGCTCTCTTTTCACCACAATAACTTATGCTGAACCTGCTGAACATAATCTGGTCAGTGGCAGGTTATGTTCCAAATTTCTTTTTTGCAGGCATACGGATCATTTTGTGCAAAAGAAGAGTCATAAAACCTGAAGCCCGAAGCACAAAGCCCTGGTCAACAGAGAAAGATGATAATCAGTCAAGAAACCAGTTACTGTATCTTGAACTGGAGTTTTAGGGAAGTTAAACCTGGAGTTAAACCAGCTAAGCCAAAGAAAGCCTGACTGTGTTGAGCTTTGCCCTCGGGGCAGACTATGAGACCAGACGAGTGAATTGGACAGGTTTCTGGCTGTGCTGAGCGGCTGAACTGAAGAGTGTAGTGTCCTATTTCAAGCAAATAAAGAATGAAAACTGGAGGAGAACAAGTGATTCAGACAGTCTCAGATCTGAGGAGAGGCCCTGCAGACTGAGGCAGAGCTGTGAGGCTGAAGGTTTGGTGAAATGGAGGAGATGATGATGTACAATTATAAACTTCTTAAAATGTGTTTCTTATTTGCTCTAGCAAAGTGTGAGGGCAGTTTTAAAATGTAGCCAATGACTGATTCAGTTCTGCTTCACAGTGCTTTTTATACCTTCTTTACTTTAGGCAAATACCACAGGTATTCATTGTTAACTTTTCCATAATGCTCCTCATCTGTTATTATTAAAGTTACTGCATTACATGTGGTGTTGTTTGTACCTGCTGTTTACTAGTATCTGAAACTAGAACTGAACTATGTTACATTTACACACTGTAATGAAATAAGGTTTCCAAACTGGTAGGGACTCACTGTTTGAGAAGTGCAGTTTGCAGATTTAAGTATGAGCATATAATAATATACTTGCTATTATAAACAGAAATACCAGATAATACAAAAAAAAATACCCATCCAAAGCTTAAAGGAAGTTTGGCAACTGAGCATCTCTATGAATGGAATTATCCTGTTCGGCAAAGCACAGTTAGAGTATGATGGGAAAAATTTCTTCCTTTTCCATTTGTTTTCCAGATGTTCTTTGTGTAGAAATCAACATAAAAAAAGGAAGTCGTGATCACCTGGCAGGACAACAGCAATGATTGCCTAATTACCTATATGGACATCCAAAGCAGCTGAAGATTTGTCTGTGGTCGGGTCACTGATGAGCATTGCCTTCAGGCCATTGGTAAACTCCAGGCCCCTGTACTCCCGCTTGTCCTCAGGTGAGCGAATGACATCACTAACTACCCTCCTCACAACCTGGCCGGTCATTCTGAGTGACAAGGATGACACCAGCCTGCAAGCAAAGAAAACCAACTCTTGGAGTTTATTATATTCTGATTTAACGTGACATAATGGCCAAATGGGATTTTAGTACTAAACATGCCTCTAAATGCTGGCATACTACACTGTAGAAGCACATTATCAGCCGATTCTTTCCTATAATTTTTTTAAGTAGTAGTCCTCGCGGACTTCCGTGTGCCTCTCAGTTTATTGAATAGAAATTATTTACTTTGCCGTCCAGCTAACCGCAATAATATGATCAAGGTCTAACACCTGTAGTGCTTTATAAGACGTGAACTGAAGCACAGTCTTTCTATACAGCCTACAAAGTAATTTAAAAAGCAGTTATTATATTATCATGGCTCCCCGGGTGTAGATGCTACTTTAAAAAAATCTAAGTACAGTAATTGAAACAGCAAAAACAGGTAAAGGCAGTCAAGACGAGGGGAAAAAATCACGTAGGAAGATGAAGACAACTGTCCGGCTGAACAAGAAAAACAACACACCTGCCAGCGATTAGCTGCAGTAACTGACTAAGGGACATTAATTCATTCAACAAAGAAACTTTATTTTATCGTATTAAAGACAAAAGCTTCAGAAAGGTTCGCAATGTTGAAAAGTGTAATTGTTAATGTGAGCTTCTAGCCTCCACATAAGGTAGGCACGGCTAACAGTTTCGCTTTAGCGAGGTTAGCTGGCTAACGGCACGAGCTGCTAGGATTAGTTTGGTGTAAAAAAAAACAACCCGCTTATTTTTAAATAAAAGTAACAATTATTATCTGATAGGGCTTACCTAACAGTTCGGTTAAAACAGAAGAGGTAGCCTGCTGACTCTTGTTGACTGGCGCTTTTGGTAAATGCACCTATACACACTTTGAAGCCTGAGACAGTATGAAAACAGTTTTGAACTGTTTGGATTTATGCATATAGAAAACGAAACCTTAATGTCTGTAGCGTCATCGTTTAACAGACGCAAGCAATCGATAGCAGAAGAGCGAGCGCCTCACTAGGGCAGGATGTCACATTTCTGTAAATGTGTCTTCGGTAAATTCTGACACTTACATCCTGGTATAGTTGAAGGTGAAACAGACGGGAAGCATCAGATCCTACAGAGTAGTAGTTCATAATATTGCGCACTGTCAGGGAATCTGACATCGATTACACTGCCGGGGTGAGGAGTTCAGCGTTTTGTATGGGTGAAAATGAAAAGTTGCGGAAAAATAACGGGAAAACAAACAAACAAACAAACAAACACTCTCTTTTCAGTGATTTTGAGGCTCATGTGCGCACAACTTTGTTTGTGTTTATATGCATGCTTGTGCACATACAGAAAGGCACACCAGCAGGCACAAACAAATAGCCGAGAACAGAACTCAGGTGGCCCATTTTCTGTAACCCGTTAAGGTTAATACATAATGAGCACTGTTACTTTGTTTTTTAAACATAATAATAATAATTATGTTTAATGTTCCGGGATTTCGGAATCATTCTTATCTGTGATCACGCAATCGCTTTGCAGCTGGCTGGTCCCTCTAACATCATATCCAAGTTCATCAGATACTACAGCAGTCCAGGAATCCCGGTGCACGAGTTCCTGAAATACCACAATAGCGATAATAATAGCTATCCTTTCCCCCAAATCGTAGCTCAGCAAACCATGCAGAATGATTCACTGATGGACAAAAACACAACTCCGTCTTCTGAGTAAAATCCGTGAACTTCAGCATTGATAAAGGGATCATGGTGGGCTCCATCTACTGGACCGCTGTCACATAAGTGTCTACTTGAGTTAAGTTGAGTAAAGGCAACTGAATTCACAGTGCACAAAGCAGTTTCATGCATCAGGCCTGCTTTCTGTTTCTATTTTTAGATGTAGTGATGTTGAATTCACAGTTCAACTAGTTGGACTTGTGTGCAGCTGTTTTCCATCTCCTCAGGACACACTCTTTACATTTGATCCTGAAAATGTGTATCTACATTTATATCTTCATACTTTTGTTCATTAGATGTATAGTACTGCACTGTGTGAGTCTAACCGTACTCAGGTGTAACTGTCAGTGTGAAACGATGATGCTCTAATGTCTGCTGCTGCTAAAGAACAGCCAATAATAAATAATAAACAGACAATAATATAAATCCATGTAAGGAGCTGAGTCAGAAACTTGATTATCATAACCTGATAATAGCAGACAAGTTTCAGACAAAAACAAATAAAATGGAGAGTTACTAACACCTCAAACACGTCTCCTCATCCATCACAGAAATCCTCACTGCAGCTGGTCGGTGTTCACTTCATCACAGCCACAAAACAGATAAATAAATCAATCCTCAGCCTCTGAAACTCAACTGTGTCAGCAACTTGCCCCATCAGGTTTATGCAGGAATAAAACTAATACTCGTGTGTGTGCAGGGATCGGCTGTCCAGTTCCTCGGATCCCTGCAGAGGATATTGGAAGACCATATGTGGGCCACACTGATCCTGTGTGGCGCCCTGGTCTTCCCCACCATCGCAGGGAAACTCATGTTCAGCAGCGTCAACTCAAACCTGCAGAGGACCTGGTGGGTCCAAATACACTTACACTGTCAACAAGCATGATCACAATTGTTTTGCACATGGCTTTGATGAGCAGGATAAAACCCTGGTACCTAAGTCATCTCCAATTTTCAAAATCCATCACAGTGCTCCTGTTTCAGTTAAATACTGTGAGGTAATGTTCAAGTTTAGCCACAATTTCTGGCAAATGTATTGAAATGTTGAGATATTAGGACGGATGAATATAGAGCTCTGTGATTTGAGTGAACCGACCAAAAGAGTTTGGTTTATAAGACGTGAAGCCTAATGTGTCAAACTCCTTTGTTCATGTGTAAATAACGTGGCTTTGAATTAACAAGTTATTGCTGAGATGAGAATCTGAGTGAGAGAGCCTGTTTAACACACTGTATAACCAACCACCTGGAATATTTAACCTGCACATGTCAACTTCTGTACAGGTGTTCTGAGATCTGCAGACTAAACCTTTCCCATCAGATCTCCTCAAGAGGCTGAACTGCACACGATGCTTCTAACGTTAGACTTCTACAGTATGAGCTCTGTGAATAAATGTATTTTCCAAATGTTGACGTGCACGTGTTGAGACTGGAAAAGTGGGACAGACGAGCTTCCATTCAGCTGTTTATTAATTAGAAACACACAAGAAACATAAAAAGACCAAACTCAGCACTCTTCACCTGCCCATGACCCCCACCAGCCAATCACAGTCATTCTGAGTTGCTAAATACATCCAGAAATTAAAATTTTGATTTTCTAAATGAAAACCACTCACTAGGTAATTCACGTCAAACAGTGCACGGCCCGCCTAAGCCTGATATGTAACATTGGTTTCATCTAGAACGCTGTGTGAAAACTGCTTTATCACCGGCTCTCCTGAGACGCTGTGGAGCTACATGCTGTGTAAGTAATAGACTAAGGCATGCTTCTGCTGCTGGTTCTTTGGGTTTTCACCACAAGGTAATATAGTGCCTTTTAAAGCAGTAGAAGTTGATAATGGACTTGTTTGAAATTTAAAAAATGAAATAGTTTGGATCTAATTGAGACAGTAAAATGCCGGGACATATTTAAGAAACTTTTGAAAAAGCAGGGCTATTCATGAACTCTACCTGAGAGCAGATATGTTAGGGGAATGGGAAAACATAAATTAAGATTTGCGGCTCCACCAGCAGTAGTTTTTACACTGTGAAACTGGTTAGCACCAAGAGAGCAGGTCACGTTAGCACTGCACCAAGCAGGGCCAACAAAGCAATCAGGCTGGAGGCGGTCCTCTCTGGGGTTTAGGCCCACGCTGTTTCCTCTGCACAGCACTGAGTTTATTGCTTAGTGAGAGAAGTGCATATATTTCGGTAAAAGGATCCAGACTGGAGCGTTTTACCAAACTCTCGCCTTCAGACATCAATATGAAATGTTTTCTTGTTTTTAGAGAAAAAGTTCGAGCTGCTTTGTTTGACATCTATGCTTTAAGAGCTAATGCTCACCCAGAATTATGCTGGGGACAGAATGGATCCTCCAGGGTTGTGCCTCAAATCAGACCAGGTTACAAACTAATCTGAAAGGTAGCAGCTGCAGAAAGTCTCTCATGCAGAGTGAACGGATCCTGACGACCTCCCCAAAGCTTTGGGAGAGAAACAAAAATGTCTCTACAGCCGTTACTTTTCAGTTTTCAGAAACCGATCACACTGTAAATTGAATAACGTACTGATGTAGATGACAGACTAAATGTTTTTATTTTAATTACTAATAAAATTGAATAATAATAAAAGGCAAAACAGCATGGACATACCCCTGAGATGTCTGAGTGACATACTACTGTGAAACGCATTAAAAAAGAAGAAATGTACGGGCATGGGTTAGTGGTTAGCAATTTAAAAACAGCTCCTCATAGGATCCCAATATTTTAGCAGTTTACAGGCAAACACGTTAAAATTCAGAAATTTGACTTAAAAGATTTCATTTTCCCGAGTGCATCTTCTGGGATTTCTCCCCCCCAGGAGAGCTGTGGTTCCTCTCAGAGAGTTACAAACACACCAGTCCAAACAAATAAAAGCAAAGACCTTCATGGAGCTACTGTCTGTAACCTCAACAGCTCATCACAATAAACCCACAATCCATCCTCAAAGCAGGATGTCTCTGAATGATCTAAATAAAAAGCCTCCTACTGTGAAGCTTCTGCAGTACACTTGAACTCATTAAAGGGTCCTGGCCCTCAGCTTTTTTCTTTTTTTTGTCGTTTTGCTTCTTTTTCGTCTACAGCAGCCTACACAGTGCTGTGAAGCGTGAGCTTACGTCTCCTATTAGAGACGTTACATGAGGTGATTCTGGTGTTACCTCTAGAATTATCACAGCTACGTCAACAACTTTGTGATTTTTTTGTTTCCTCTTTGAGTGGCTCCTCCCTGCTACACGTGCACACACCCGCAGTCAACATGCATCCACGCAAACAAACACACACTCATGCAGGCTCCGTCAGATGAAGGTCTTCCTAGTGGCAGGAGGAGGTGAAGTGGTTAGATGTGAAACAGAGCAGGGCCGCCCTCCGTGCCTCCCTGCTGTGTCGACCTGCCGGCCTTGCTCACAGTTTGGCTGCCATGAAGTTGATGTGAGGTTTGACCAGAGGGAACAGAGGCAGACTCCTCTTGAACTCCGTCATGTCCTGAATCACTGTGGGCTGCAAGAAAGATCAGATCAAAGGGCGGCTGAAAAACGACCCCCTCCATAAACTCCAGAAATAGTCCAGAAACAAACAAATGCTATTCTCTTTCTAAATGACATGTTATAATTTGGAGCCTAAAAGCAGGCTTTGACAAAGTGTTAGACACTACAGAACACAATGAACACTGTCATCAACAAATGGAGAAAAGGAAAAACTGATCAAAAGAGGCTGCCAAGAGGCCTCCAGGACATTAAAGGAGCTGCCTGAATGTCTTCACTGAGCATGGCGAGAATAGCAAGAAGAAGACGCAATTGAAAGGTATGTCCACCTCATTTGACACAAGCTGATGATTAACAAAAAATAAAAAATAAAAAATGTCAGCGTGAAGAATTTTAATTTATATTAAAAAAAAGAAAAAAAAAGAGATAATAACATCTATTTGAGCAATTCGGTGTGTGAGACAGTGACAAGCTACAAATCCACCCAGGTTAATGGTGTGGCAGTTCTACCCTTCAGTTATTGGTTAACGAGATGTATTGGGATGTCCTGGTTATTGTCACCTTTTCACATTTAACCTCCTAAGACCCGAACTCTTTCATGGCATGCATTTTTAATTTCTCTTTGCTTGGAAACAAAGAATTACCAGATTTTTTTTTTTAACCCAATTTTTGTTTCTGAGAGAAATGAGATCCACATATGAGGACATTTGTTTTATATTTCAATAGAACAGTGGTAGTATAATGTCCTCGTCAGTGCATATCAAGAAAAAATAAAAAGTTTGATCCTTACCTGTGGCAGGGAAGGAGCAGGAGCCAGGTTGACATCATTCTGAGCGGGGAACTCTCCCACTACTGGACCTGATGTACACACAGACAGGTCAGACTGTCAGTGAGCGACCTCAGTGGGTGTCTAAATGAAGCCCATGTTATCATCTTGTGTCTACAGATACTCACAGGTGTCCATCTCCCTGGACAGCACGTGCACCGACACTTTGTGTCTCTTTGGGGCTTCGACCGTCAGTCGCTCCTGGATAGACAGACAGACAGGTGAGGATGATACATGGAGGTTGTCAGGGAACATCATCACCAGAAACTATTCCCTCCATTAATGGAATGACTCATCACTTTTGGGAAAGAGCTTTGCTACCACAGAAAAGAAACCCAGCAGAGACAGGATGGCTGTGTGTGTTTCCCCACTGAGTGTGTGATCAGTTGTGACAGCCCTGTGGAGATTTAGCGACTTCATCTCCGACTCTGGATGGAGGATTATATTAGACTGAACATTTGGCTCATCTGCAGTCAGACGGCGTCAACTGTGGCAACCAGAAATTAAATAATAAAAAAAGAAAAAGAAAAGACGCAGCTTGTGCGATTGCTGCTGATATGACATTAGAAATGCATTAGGTTTATTCTGCATGGGGGCTGTAATGGTTTCTGCAGGGCTCCGATAATGCCAATTCTTTCTGGGGCCAGGTGTCCTTGGGCTCTTTATCCCCCCGAAACAAGCTGGCTGGCTGTCATTATTGCCGCTGATATGCTGTGAGCGTCCTGTGTCAGTGTCACCTCCACAGCTATGAATAGAAGCAGGAGGCTGGATGAGATGAAAGCTAGGAGGGCAGAATGGATGCAGCAGATCTGTGTATGTGTGGACACACAAACAGAGTAGGTGGTGCTGAATAAAGTCCTTTTTTCCCATTAGTACCTTCTCGGATCAGCTTAATGCAACTCAGCTCGACTCGTTTTCCATTACAATCGAGTGCCACCTAATGTGTGTGGGGTCATTATTAGCAACGCAACCGAACATCCCGTGACGTCACGTATGTGACACGAACGCCACAACAGAGGTGGACCTGGAGGCGATGTTATACCTGCTGCTAGGTCTGTGGATTTCTGTCAGACATGGGGACCACAGTGTTGTTTCTGTGTAGCCATTTCTCTTATGCCGGGTTTCAGAAATGGTAAATATGATTTTCGTACAGGAGACACTCTCATGACTCATCGAGTGATGCCACTGACTACCCAATCGATGACATGCAGTCTATTGACGCCACATTTTCAGATCGCCTCTGATCGCTATGAACTCCGGTTGAAAAAGTACCTAGTACCAGGTACTACCACCTGATGGAATACCCTCAAAACATGTCGAGCCGAGTCAACCTGAGTAGATACTAATGGAGTTTTGTCTGACATATATTCTTTCAGCAGTGCAAAACGTGGGGGCGAGGATATGTGACCTTTGAAAATAAAGATGCTGATGAAAAACTGTAGTTCTTTGAGTGGCCAAACTCCCACAGAGTCCCATACTAACAGCCTCAACTTCACTGATTTTACAGATGTTCTCAACATGCTTTTTAATGCTGTGAAGTCTTTTCATAATGTATCCTTTGAAACTTCATCAGGCTTACAGCGAGGGGCGTGGCCACTTTGACAGGTATGCTGACCAGGGAGCTGCAGGTAGCAGCTGAGTAAATGAACTGAGCCTCATCTAGTGCACAAATTGATCCTGCTTAACGAACCTGCCAGTGTCTAAACTATGATTAGGAGTTGCTACAGTTACCCTAAAAAAGAGCTACAAACTGTTTTGTCTCAAACAGGTGTCAGACTGAGCAATCCAGCATGACACAAGGACATGTCTCATGCTGTTAAGTCTTCCAAGGAAGAGGCATCATGAGACATAAAGCTATACTACTTACTCTGTAAAACTCCATTACGTTTTCTTTTGTCAACGTCTTCAGGTACGCCACTTCAATGTTGTCTGCAAAGCAGCAGGAAAAACAGAAGTAAATTAATTAAATTTAAAAAAAAAAATAGAAAAGAAAGAAAAAGACAATAGTTCCTGTTTGCAATGCTTAAGAGATGGACTCAAGAGTGAATCCATGATTAAATAAGGTAGGCTATTTTAATTATCCTTTTATATATGATTAAAGGAAGAAACCTCTGGCTGAACCAGGCCCAGGGAGGGGCAGCCATTTGCCACAACTGGGCGGATTGCTGTCTTTTTGTGTTACACAAGCTGGTAGATCAGGAAAAACCCATTTGGCCTGCAAACTAAACTAAACATAATTAAGAGTTATCAGAGAGGTGGACTGGACTGCTGGGAAGCCTCACCTCTATCAAAATTGTACTGCTGAGAGATGATCTCTCCCCAGTATTTAGCACACTCAGCAGACAGCTTCTTCGGTTTGTCCAGGCGGCGGATGGCCAGGGCTTGGATGTGTTTCTGGAAGGCTTCCTCGCTCATCTCCTCCACAGCTTTCTCCATAGTACACAGGAAAGCTTCCACTCGGCTCTCCAGGTAGTGGGGCGCCTTCTCTGACTGGATGATGAAACGCAGTCCTTGCACTCCATTAGCCCGCCGTGGCCCGCTAAAGACAATGTAGCCTTTTGGGGGATTAGGAGAGGAAGTAGGTAAGAGCTCCAGACTGCTGTATACACTGTTCCAGAAAGGTTTTTGTAAACCATTCCACTATGGACCAACTAGATGCATGAATAATATAAATAATAAACTTGATAAAGCTGACACTGTTTGTATAAACTTGAAATGGTCTGGAAAAAGGTACCCACGTTCTGTGTCATGCCCTATCATGTGTGTTTTGCAGCCTCACCCAGCTGTTCTTTGGTTCTCAGTGTGTTGAAGCAGGGCTCAGAGATGATCTGACAGAACAGCTCTAGCAGCATGTTGTCGTGGGTGGTCTGCATGTCTGTTTGGTAGTAGATTTCGATGCCACAATTGTTGTGTACCTCATTCCTTTGCTGGTAAACATACCAGCCACCTGAGAGGAACATAAGAACATACATTTATGTTGTAATCATGGAAGACAAATCATATACACGCTATGAAAAGATGACCACAAACAAACATCACCAAAAAATCCCCGCAAAGCAAAATAACTGGACCGCCTTCATTCATGTGGCGATAAAAACCATTTCATTTTATGGGGAAAACTGAATGACACTTCACATCAATGTATTTTATTAGTTTGGGTTTTTTTTTAATTCATTTTTCAACTTTAACCCCATGTACTCACCTTGTTTTTGTACTTGTGCAGTTATATGTAATATTAAAAAGACTAAAAACAGGAAAGAGAAAGACTAGATGTAAAAATATGAGCACCTGTAATTCTTCTGGCTTTGCTTTTTGGTCTGTGAAGGTTCAACAGGACCTCACTGAGATACGCTGAGAACTAAACTTGGCATGTGAGTGAGCAAAACCATCTGAAGTCATTTAAAGCACAATCCTTTTCATTAACCCAAAATCCACTGACTCATGAACTCTGATAAGCTTAGAAATGAATTTCACCAGCTGTGCTGTACAGCTTAATACAATCCATCCCTGCACACTTAATCAGGTCTTTCAGTGCTGCATTAGAAACTTGCACAAGCAATTCCTACAAAAAGCACATGAGCTGTTTCATTGTAGTTTTACAGCTGAACTTCAGTACACTGCTTGAGCCATAGATAAGTACTGTACAGTAAAACCAGCACAGTTCAGATAGAGGACAGGGGACACTTCAATAAGACAGAAACAGCCCGTTGAATGCCAACAGCAATAACTCTAGTTTGTTTAAATCCACTGTGATCAAGTCTGCTCTGAATGCAGGACGAGTGCAGGCTGAGTAATGCAGGTGTCTTTATGCACATGCTGACTGAGCACTCTGGACCTGACACTCCCTGTCAAAAGTTCTACTCAGCAGCACTAGTGTAACTCACTGGGTTGAGCAGGCAACCCATATGCGCAAGGTTAAGAGTGCCCCCCAGAGGGAATGTGAAAACTCCAAACAGAATGTGTGTATATTTAGCTGTTTTCTAGTCTTAGTCCATCAGTGTAAAGGTGACAGCTGTCTGAATTTTAAACTATGTGCTATCTTTGCTTATCTGCATTTAAATTACACAGTACCACTACCAGTGATGGATGTCTGACTGGCCACATTTATGACAACTTTCTGTTTGAAGCTTTGTTTGAAGCCTGTATGTCCTCTTGCTCTGCGTCTTAATGGCAGTCTGGAGCCCAGCCTGGAAAGTCCCTCAGAGAGACACAGGATTTCTCCAGGTGGCCTCGCACAGCTCTGCTTTTCGCCTCCACATCATTCAGCTTTCCTAATGTGACCTGAAAGGCAGTGCAGGTTTGCCTGTGTGTTCATTGCCTGAGCTGCTGACAGTGAGGTGTGTATGTATTGTAGCCAATGACGTCCATTTCCACTCAGTGACCATTATGTTCCTTTGAGGTAAATGTGGGATGCTGAATTCAATCAGGTCTTTTTTCAACAAACACACGATGGCGTCACTGATGACGAGGGCGAGAGCGTTAGACAAGAACCCATCTGCGTGGTCGCCGTGGAGACAGTCATGACTGGCAGATGAAGATATACAGTGCTTAATCTCTGTGTGTGTGTGTGTGTGTGTGTGTGTGTGTGTGTGTGTGTGTGTGTGTGCGTGCGTGCCTGTGTTTGTGGTTTGGAGGAGTAGAGGACCTACCGTCTGGAACCTGCACCTCTCTGTAGCGAATCAGCTGGCTCGGGAGGAGAGGCTTTGTGTGAGCATGCTCAATGAGCGTGTCCTCCACCATTTGCATCATGCCAAGAGCAGACTAGAGGAGTGACAGATGGAAATGAAATTCAAACATTTCAGTCCACAAACTCTTGAGTAACACCAGCTGAACTCTCAGAAAAACATTTTGTAGAGATTCAAGAATTTTACATTTATTGTACCTACCAACATTTACTACATTACTCAAAACAACCAGCAGGTTCTTTTTAAGAGCACTTGTATAGTCAACTGTGATAGAAGTTATTCTCAATATGCGTGGTAAGCATCTTGACTTCACTGATATACAGTGTAGACATTTTGCCAAAGGAATTTTTAATTTCCTAAAAAAAATTAAACATTGTATATTTTTATAACATTAATTGTGATATGATTGGTAATTTATTTCAACATGTGAACAATATACAGGTACATTTAGAAAAGAAAATGAGAACAAATACTATACAAAATACATACAAAATGTTCTGATTAATTTACATGTTGAAAGGGAGTGGGAAGAAGTAAAGACTTATTTAATCCCACCCCTTTGCCATAAATTATCAGTTAATATTTAGTCAGCTTCCTTATTGATATAATTTGTAATAAAAATAGTGAACAGATTTCTGATATACTATATACTATAATATCACATCATGAATTTTTTATTTTTATTTTTTAAATAGAGACATTCACTTAATTTCAATATTTTCCTTTTCTTTATAGTTCGAGAAGATCATATTTTTATAACTCTTTTTGAACCGTTTTGTTTGGACGTTGCTTTAATTCCATATTCAGACTGTTCCATAGTTTCACTCCATGAACAGAAACACAAAAGCCTTTTCTTGTAGTACGTACCTGTTTTGAAGTTACAAAAGCCCCTTAAATTATAACTTCCTTCTTTCAAAAAAAA